TAAGAGTCAGTTTTGGTGGCTAGGCCCCTCCTTGGTAGGTAGGCCCCGTGACAGCCCTGTCCCTGCCACACCTGGACAGCCATCAAGGGGGTCTGCAGAGAGGCCTGCCTTGCAGGGTCCAGATGTGACCCAGGCTGGAGACCCTTCCCTGGTCTGCCCAGCCCTCGGCCCTGCTCTACCTAAATCTACTTGAATGTATCCCTGAAAGTCCACAGGAGTCATGTGTGGGTCCACAGCACCCACAGCGAGGGGTTCAAAGGTCATACGCCACGTACACAGACAAAGATACACACACACGTTTTTCTTTGCAATACTTGAAATATTGCCACTGTGCTTGGACTTACAAGAAGAAAAAAAAAGATCTCCACAAGTCTTTTCTCACTACCCTGAGGACTTTCCTTGTACCTTGCTGCGTGTGACATGTTAGTATTTATTGCTCTGTGGCTGCTGGGGAAGCTGGCACCATGGGAGGGCCTTGCCTGGCTTCCTGGTCCTTGCTTCATCTGTTGTGGCCACCTGTGCGTGTGTCCGGAGCGGGATTTAGGTGCCCAGCCTCAGGAACACTGCCTCCAGTTGTGTGTCTCAAGTGTTTCCTGTTCTCCACAGGATAGTGCTCTACTCTTTGTCTATTTTAAAACAAATTTTGTGTAATTCCTCCCCTTTTGCGTTATATTGTGTAATATCAATTTAAGGAAATAAACCTTTGGAATTGTTGAGCTGGCGTGACTCTCTTGGTCAGTTTGTCACTATCTCCAGTGTTGTGTCCTGTCCTTATCAGACTCAGAGCTGTCCCTGTTCATGCCCAGCCACAGGGTGCTTTGGGAACAAGCCCCAGGGCAAGAGCTGGGGGTGTTCAGGGGTAACCGGGTGGACTCATCCCTGGGTCCTTTCCCCTGACCCCATGTCCCAGCAGAAGATAGCTCAGCAGGCTGAGGGGAGTGCAGGGGCCCTTTAAAAGGTGGGGCACTCCCCTGGCAGGGCTGGGCTGGGCCTGGGCTGTCTGAGGACACCTGCTTCCATTCTCTTGGGGATATGTGGAGGATGGGATCTCCAGGGAACCAGACTGTTCCCGGAGGCTGCATCGTTGTCCCCTTCCACCAGCAGGGCTTGAGATTCCAGCTCCTTCACCTCCAGTCCACCCTCATGGGTATGCGGGTGGCCCCACGGTGGCTAATGATGCTGAGCATCTTCCATGTATCTGTTGGCCATTTGTAGGTCTTCCTTGGAAACCCTTTGCCCATTTCTGAATTGGGTTTTTTGCCTTTTTATTGTTGGGCTATAGCGTTTGCATTTTTAAAACTATGTATTGTTTTGCTTTGGGGTTTTTTTTTTTTTTTTTTTTTTTGGCCACTGGCCAGTAAGGGGATCCAAACCTTTGACCTCACTGCACTCTAACCAACCATGTATTGTTTTTATACAGTAAAAATAACTCACTGAATTAACAAAACCTCTAACCGCAATGGTAAACGAAAGTTCATCGAGAGGTGGCGTTTTAGAGGAAGTGGACGATGGAGACCTTGAAAGTCTGAGTCCCAGGAGGGGCCGGTTCCAAATTGAGCTGAAATACACGAAAGCATGTTCCTCTCAGCAGAGCCCAGTGCCAAATGGGGGCATACGGAGAAGCCGCCGCCTAGCCGTGGGGGCAGCTGCCCTCCTGTTACATCATTAACATAAATGCCAAAACAAGGTTGCCACCAGTGTGGCATTTTGATAGTGTTAAATTAATAAACTGGTTTTTCTTGGTGGATAATAGGTACAGGGATTGAACTCTGGACCTTGGTGTTATCAACACCACACTCTAAGCAGCTGAGCTAACTGGCCAGCCCAAATTAACAGACTTTTTTATTTTTTTATTTTATTTTATTTTTTTTTAAAAGATGACCAGTAAGGGGTCTTAACCCTTGACTTGGTGTTATCAGTACCACACTCTCCCAAGTGAGTCATGGGCCAGCCCCAGACTTTATTTTTTAGAGCAGATTCAGGTTTTCAGAAAAATTGAGCGGGGAATTGAGTGCAGTCCCACATACCCCATCTCCCTGCTTTCCCTCAGTTTCCCCTGTTATTAACATGTTACACTATGTGGCACATTTGTTGCAGTTATTGAACCAATACTGATACTTTGTCATTACCCAAAGTCCATAGTTCACATCAGGGCTCACTCTTGTGTTGCGTATTCTCTGAGTTTGGATAGACGTGTAACGACACGTGTGATAACAGCATCATGCAGAGCAGTCACTGCCCTGAACATCCTCTGTGCTCCCTCTGTGTACCCCTCCTTCCCTCAACCCCTGGCAACCCCTGATCTTTTTATTGTCTCCCTGGTTTTGCCATTTCCAGAATGTCAGGCAGGTGGAATCGTACAATGTGTAGCCTTTTCAGATCGGCTTCTCTCATTCAGTGATAACGCATTTGAGGTTCCTCCATGTCTCGTCATGGCTTGACAGCTCATTTCTTTTTAGTGCTGAGTCATATTCCACAGTCTGGATGGATGTTCCACAGTTTATCCACTCACCCACTGGAGGACATCTCAGGTGCTTCCAAGTTTGGGCAATTATGAACAAAAAAAGCTGCTATAGGGCCGGCCCGTGGCTCACTCGGGAGAGTGCGGTGCTGATAACACCAAGGCCCCGGGTTCGGATCCCATATAGGGATTGCCGGTTTGCTCACTGGCTGAGCGTGGTGCTGACAACACCAAGTCAAGGGTTAAGATCCCCTTAGCGGTCATCTTTAAAAAAAAAAAAATGCTGCTATAAATATCCATGTACAGGAGCCTAATGATAAAGGGTGGGTCTTGGGAGGCTGTGACCATGGGGGAGGAACCAGCCCCTGCTTTTTGAGAAACTCATCCCTGTATATCTAGGCACACGTCATGG